TACCCAGGCTTTCTTGACCAGCAGCCGTGTGCGTAAACAAGTTAATAACTTTTCAATATGTAAACGACAGCAATGCGTGTTTTGAAGGATTTATGATCCGAGCAACACTCCCATTCAGCACAAAGGAAGTGTGTGTGGACATATTGACGTGGCTGATACACTCTGTCTGGTTGCTTAAGCAGGGTGCGGATACAGGGCGAGGATTTTCGGGCTGCTCTGTGCTGTGACTGACTGGCCTGCATTTGGCAGGCGGCACATAGCCCCTGCCCCTGTCCAGCCCATGCCACATGCCACAGCCCAGAATTCAACGCACTTCAGCACTTCAGAGTCCTTCAGCCTGGCCGGCGCTGGGCGGCTTGCGAGGAGGGGGAGGAGGAACTACTTGAAGGCAACGCCAACATGCTGATGATGATGCTTTATGATTAATGATTGGTGGCGAGACCCACTACAGCCCTCCAACGCCAACGTCAACCCCTTATCCCTTGAAATATGATGTAACTCTGTCTCACTCACTCTCTCTCTCTCTCTCTCTGTCTCTCACTCACACTCAGCGCCTGGCGCTGTCTGGCATATTGATTCCTCTTGTTTGCATTAGTGTTTGTTGTTTGCTCTTCATATTTGTTGCCGTTCTCTTGTTCTGCTTCGGATTTATATGCCATGTGGAAGACATTCACGAGTCTTCACCGTTCCCATCAATCCAACTCCGACCCGAGCCCCTCATCCATGAGGACATATGGACGTTACTTGATGCACATTTGTTTGCTTTTGTTTATTTGCTTTTCTTTGCTCCTCCTTTCGGCTGTGGGCAGAGCTCGTTGCGGATTGTATATATATACTTATGAATGGCCATTGAGCAAAATATGCGTGGAACAAGTGCTGTGAATTATGTTATGCAATGTGTGTGTGTGTGTGAGAAGCGAGGGGATAAATGTGAAGTGTAGAACTTGAGCAAATTTTATATATATTTGAGTAAAAACTTGGACTCTTGAGTGGTTGGCTTAAATCGAGAGTGAACTTCGGGTGAAGTGGCAAAGGAGTTGGTTCGTTTGAAGCTGTATGAAGACTTGAAACATATTTGTGTTTATTACAATTAATTTTACTCAAATGTGACTCAAATTTGTGAGGTGGATGCAAAGAAAGTTGTAAATATTCTTGTGATTTTCTCTCACTTCTTTTACAGAGCATTTCCCTTCTTTACATTACTTAATTTTATTTTAATTCCCATTGTACATAATCCATTTTAAAAGTTCTGGGGCTGCAGACAAATGCGTTTTGCAGTGCTTCTTGGAGGCAATTCGCTGATGGTCGGGGCGCTAAAGAGACAGTTGTTCAGAATTAGGCCATAGGATTCGATTGTAATACTGTGGACATTGGCCTAGTTGGCAAAGAGCATAATGCAATTGCCAGTTTCTAGAACGTATTGGACCTTGGCCCAGGGCAGATAGTCCGCCTGCTTCCCCGTGGACTGCCTGAAGTAGTCGCCCTCTTGGCCCAAACTGTTGCCCGAGTTCCAGAAGCTCAGCGTGAGTGGCGCGACAATGTTGAGCCAATCGTTGAGCTGCTGAAGGTCTTCTAAACTCTGCAGGTTTATCACATTTGCGAACTCTGCAGGCTTATCACATCGAGCGGCAGCTGCGTTCCGCCTGAAACTAGTTTATTTCGCCGCTCACAATCTGTAGGCATTTGTTGCCCACTCGAGTGTAGTTGGCTGGACAATTGAAGTCCGCTCACGCAAGCACAAGCGCCAAGATTAGGCCAACTACTGCAAAAGCAATTATTTTTGGCCAAAAACAACATGTTAACTAGCGCACACGAATCTGAATAACTGAGGCTAATAAAAGGTGTTTAAGTGTATCATCGAGCTGATAAGAATTACAATAGCAAGTCGTTTTCATCGCACCCATAATACAGAGATAATATTAAAGGTGATCGATTGAACTGAATTTTCATGTATTTCCATCGAATTCACAAAATCTTGCATTGCTTTTAAGAATTTAGTAAAATAATTATAACTGATAGACTGATATATCTCAGATATTCAATATATATATATAAATTGTATAAATAGGGCATATATAAGTATTAAATATTAAATATGAATATACGCCCACAACAAATTGTAAGAATTTTGGGTTTTAGATTACCAAATTAAATATATTTAAGAAATAAAGAAATATATATATTTTTTTTCACTCATATTTCATTATTTTTATTTTTTTATTTTTCATATTTTATTTTATTACAAAATAAATTTTTTTTATTAATTTATATATTATTTTCCATTTTTTATTTCATTTAATTAAAAAATAGTAATAATAATACTTAGTAAAAAAAAAAGACAAATATATTTACGTATTGATTTATTTATATATATTCCTTTTTCCCCTTTCTTAAATTCTTTTCTTATTTTGTTTTATCAGATTTTCCCATTTTCTCCTAGCTTCCAGTTTCTTCTAGCTTCTCAGCTCTTTCAGCCTAATATTGCATGGACTTTAAAACATAATCGAATTGCGTTCGCATTTCATCTTTTGTTTGGTCTTATTATTTCCTGGCGGTGCCCATTCTGTTGCCACCCCCTCTTAACTATTATCTAATTTCATAATATATCAAATGCCTTCCCTTTCAAATTACGCCTCGCAACGACAAACTCTCGCCCAAGGGCGACAAACGGCGAGTTCCATTTTACAATTTGCAGTCTCAAATTCTTATCAGTTGCCATCAAACAAGCCGCGAGCATTGTCCATTGACAAATGTCTGTCAGTCGAGCTGAGCTCATTAGACATTTTATAGACAGCCGTCAGGCGGACTCGGAGAAAGTGACAGGGAGAGAAAGTCAGCGGAAGAGAGAGAGAGAGAGAGAGAAAGAGAGAGGGCATCCTCATTCATTCTCTCAATTTGCTCAGAGTTCTCACTTGTCAATTTGTGCAACGAAACGTCGCTTTGTCTTTTTTTGTGCTCGAGCAATAAAAAATGTTTATAACTACGTGATTTTGACTAAGCAACACGCCTCTTCCCCGCCCTCTCTCGGCCTACATCCTCCACCTCAATGGCCATCGAGCAGCACCCCGCAGACAAAAACATTTTGCGCTATTGTCAGCAATAAAATTTGCAGGGGTTGCTGACCGCGCTGAGGGTTGTTCCACCCCAGGCCCAATGCCAACTGATTGACATGCGACGAAGGCACTCGGCTCGAAATGAGCTTACAATTAATTGTTACTTTGGCGTTTAGAGTACGCACCTCCTAGTTGACTCACCGCCTCGTGCAAATCTCAGCTCGACTCGAGGAGCTTTAAGGGTTTCGACACTTCTTTAATGTGTGTCTGGGGTGCGTTTTTGTAGAGGGATTCGCTCAGGCTGGCCAGACGGCCGCCGACTGTTTGTAATTAGTAGTTTTTGTTAATTGTGCGGCAGCCCAGCTAAGCACTTGAGTGGGGGGTGGGGGATGGGGAACTCTGCGGCAAAGGCTAATTTTATGAGCGCTTTGAGGTGCAACCTCAAATTGCCAGACATTTGAAATGGCAGCGAATTGCGACCCTGATAAGTAGGCAACACTTTGTAAGACTTACGTGTGGCCAGAGGCCTTACCACATACACGCATACACACTCTCACACACTCACACACATTCACACACCCACACACACACATGCAAGCAGACAATTTGCCTGGGTCCTTTGTCATGATTTTTGCTCAGGCATCATCCACTTGGGCAACTTATTGTTATGATATCCGGTCTCAAACAAAAGGCCCCACGCCGCAACTTTTAGGCGCACGTCAACGCAAATTGTAATTTATATGTAATATGAACAGCGCCATAAAGTATGTGACACAAAAGGCAGTCTGAAATTGAAAGCACACCACAGACCGCCACACCAGAGATGCTCTCCCACTTTACAGTTCGCCGCACGAGACGACAATAATTCCGTTCGAATTCCGAAATGCTTACCAGTGTGATATCATTTTTATGTGGAATTTTTAAATCGTTGTGGTCATTGAATATGCAATAAAAATTCATTGATTATACCTGAAATTAATTACCTTTTTTTTTGTATAATTTTTAAATAATTATAAGTTCTGATAGAAAACATTTTGTATGCTAGAAATATGTTATATTATACAAAGTTTTTTAACTTTTAACTTTTATTAAGGCATACAAGGCACTCTAGTAATCCCTATATTATACAAAGTAATTATTTCTACTTATATTTCGACATTTTTTTAAGTTAATTATTTATTTCTGCCATTCCAAAATCTTTCTTTGAAAATTAAACATTCCCTATTGGCAATACAAATCATTCGGTTTCATCGTGTTCTCTGATCTCACGCACGAGAACACGACCTGGCCTCAGCTCTAAACCACAAAACCATCCACACACAGCTTACGCCGCTCCCAGTCCAAAGTTTTTCCTTTTTTTTTTTTTTGCTCTTAAGTACAAAATATGCGAATATGTCGCATAAATTTGATGCCATTTTCTTTGGCTGGCAACGAAATTAGAACGAGGCGACGTAATGTCTTTTTCTTATCGTGCTGCTGCTACTCAGTGTTTATTTATGAATCCGTGGTGCTGCGTGAGGTTCAGTCAATTTTCCAGTTGCCTGCACGGCGCATCTCACTTTTAGTTCCATTGAGCCAACAACTGAACTCTACTTACTAGTCTGTCAAATCACGCCAAATCGGAAGTGCCAACTCATTGTGCTGCTCGCAGCGGCCTTCGCGCGCTCTGCCATGACTCAGGTGCTTCATAGTCACCTAAGTGTCGCCCACATCCTGTCAGCAATTTGTTTTGCTTAAGAACTGCCAACGCCCATCCAGCCCCAACTCCACCTTCTATTTCTTTTTTGTCATTGAAATATTGTCACATTTGACAATTGCTGACAAGCTTATCATATTTTATGGCCCTGCGCATGTGTTGCCAGTGCGAAACTCTTTAAATGTTCATAAATTTGCACACATTTCTAATGCTCTCTCTCTCTTACTCTCTCCCCCTCTCTGTATGCACAGACGACTCGGTGGATGTCACATCGGAACCAGATGATCAAGATGTCTCCGTAGCGGCTGCCTCGCACAATCCCAACAAGGGGCAGCTGGAGGTGCAGCTCGGCGGTGCTGTAACACTTCAGTGTCCACAAGGTAAGTAACTGTCAAGGCAGGATCTTAAGTAGAAAGTGAACAGCCAATTGCTCCATTTGCAAAAATTAAAATAAATAATATAACAAAATAAATAAATATGTGATGGAAAGATTATTAAAGTAATACCCATAGATACATTAATTATTATTAAATATTATAAGGTATATAATATACATTTAAGTTGAAGATAATGAACTATATGTTTATATAGGATATACATATTTTAATTTTTTTCGTTATATATCGATATCGGTTTACTTATCTGTTTTATTAAGGGTATAAGAAGCATATTATTACCACAAGTGATAAGATAAGACGAAACCAAGGAAAAGTGTATATAAAAATATGTTTGGAGGATTCTAAACATCATAATATTAAAAAAAATTTTTTTTAAATTTGTTTATTAAAAAAAAAAAAAAAAAAAAAAAAAAATAATCTTTGCATCAAATTTATAGTTTTACAGCACGTGAAATATTATTTTGTTAAAGGGAAAGCCCTTTAAAATGATAAAAGTTTTTAGATAGATATAAACCTCTTTTCCTTTTATTTTATTTTTTTATTTTATTTTATTTTTTTTACATTTTTTACGGATTTTTTTTTTTTGGTTCTATGTATATATATTCATATATTTTATCTATATATATATATATATATATATATATATATATATATATATATTTTTTTTTTTTTTTTTTTTAAATTTTAATATCATTTAATTAATTGATACTTTACAGCTTTCTCATCAATCGTAATAATTTTTGAGTAAATTTATATCTCTGCCTATGCATATTGTTTTTATAAAAAATAAAAAAACATCAAAGCAATTGAGCAGGAGCCAAGCTTCGACTGCGGGCAACAGGGAAATGAGCCACGCTGAGAGATGCGTCGTATATCTAATTACAATTTAGATTTTCGTTCCACTAATTGAGGCACAGATCGAAAAGATTGCGCTGGCAGTCGCTGAATGGAACTCCATTCATTAATTAGCACAATTGAAAATTAATTATGCGTGCAATTTACTTTGCTCACTTTTAGGCAGTCAACAAACGCGGCGACGCCAGGACTTGAGCCGAAATATCAGTTAGCTCGGGGTGCGTAGGACTCGTAGGCGGTGGGTGTTGGGAGTGGGTGAGGAGTGGGTTCCTCTTTGACAAATGGAAGTGGAAGCTTTTTGTTGTTTACGACTCCGGCATCAATTAAAGAAATTAAAACTTGCGTGCCCCGGCATACTCAATTAATTAAATTAGAAATGGCGCCAAGTCAAATTATGCAATGACTTTAATGTTTTCTCTGCTCTATTCGCAGGCTCCCTGGGCTGCTGGTCACATTTGGATCCGGTTTCGGCACGTCTGCGTGGCCTTGGCTACGGCAGCTCGACTCCGACGGGCCAATTCTCGCTCAAGGATGTCATGTACCAGGATGCGGGCACCTACAAGTGCGTGGGCCAATCCCCGGCCAACAAGAAGAAGCTCGAGGTGCTGCAAAGCGTCATTGTTTCAGTCAAGGGTAAGTCGAACGTAAACTCTGCTTAACAAGTAGCTGTAAAGTGAAAGTCGTACTAATTCAATCTAAAGAAAATCGCATAAATTACTAAGGCAAGCCAAGTGAAGCAGGCGAAGCATATTTGGTGAGCTGCTTATGCGACTTGAGCAACTGCATTGCAAATTATTATTAAATTCACCCAACTGACGAAATGAATCAGTCATTAGCTGAATTGGTTTGAATATGCTAATATCTTGAGATAAGTGTATTTATATTGTATATATTTTTAAGACTCCACAATTAATGCTGAATATTAAATTAGAGACAAAATTGGTTCATTGGGTATTAAATTTGGATCAATATATTTGTGCTATGTAATTTCGTCGAGTGTAATCTGCAGTCCAGCTGAGGCAACTGCTTCGGCGTTGAGTGGCTCGCACAGTTTATGTAGCCTACTTTTCGGGCTTTGGCAGGTGACAGCAGCGAGTTAAAAACATTAAAAACTTTGACAGCAGTTTTCAGCACGTTGCAAAACAAATGAAAACTTTTCCGTCTCAGCTTTGTGTGAATATTTTTTTGCAAAAGCCCCACACCCGCCGCCTTCTTTCTTTCTCCTTCCTCCTGCCCGCTCAGCTGCTTTGCGCTGCCTGTCAAAACTTCGATATTTTACTTTGCATGTGATTTTCAAAAGTTGCCCAAAGACTTTTCTTCCTCACAGTCTGTCCTGCTCTGTGCTCTGTCTCTGTTGTCTCCACTGTCCCTGCTGCCACTGCGCTCTATCTTGTCGCATTGACACTTGTCAAATCTCTGCCTGGGCGTGTGGAAAAACGACGCATGATTGATGACTCCGCAAAGGCAGAGCCAATTCCAATCAGTTCTCGCTCAGGCATTGAGAAATTACGTATACGCCATGAATAAAATGTTCAGCTGTAGCTGACAATGCCGACACGTTGCTTGTTGAATCCTTGGGAGAAGTAGAGCAAAAAAAATGGAAAATCATACAACCGGAAATTAAAGAAAATGCGCACATCTTTGATTTCATATTGTCAGCACCATTCTCTGCGCCTCCCTCTCTCTCTCTCACTCTGTCTCCTGTTCGTTTCGTTTGTGGGGCAGCATTAAGTTGTCTTCGAGGCGAAAGTTAAGTGGACACTGAGACAATAAAACTTGCCAAGTGCCGGCTGGCTAGCTGCTCAGCCCGCCCGCCAGTCTGCCAGCTGACAGCAGCAGGTCCGGCTAGCCAGCCCGGACTTAGAGCCCGTCGAGTGCAATACAAACATGGTGGCTCACAGTTGCGCCCGAGCTGCGGCCAAAGCAATCAAACAAAGTCGCTCAAGTGGGCGTCAAGTGAAGGAGGCGAGGCGCTTATACAGACTCGACATATGAACGCACACACACACACACACACAGAGATAGAGAGAAACACATACACACTTATAATGCTATCTCGCATGCAGTTTCAAGGTAAGACATTTTGTCATTAAAACTGCGAAATTGAGTGCTGTATAAACAAAATACGCAGCGGGAGCCCGGACCCGGGACATGACAGGAAGAGCCAGTAAAAGATGACAGAGGCGTTGCTGCTAACGCTTAACGCAAATAAACAACTAAACACGAAGCGGGTGGGTGCGAGTAGTGCTGGCTGGCAGCGTGAAATAGTCATATTTATCAAGTGGCATCCAGAAAGGATTGCCTGGCAGCCGTAACTGGTAGCTGGAGTCAAAGATGCCCGGATATGGCAGACGCGCGTGAGAGAGAGAGAGAGAGAGGGAGAGGGGGAGCAGGTGAAAAGGCAGCAAACAAGTTAGATAAAACCTGTGAACGCGCGAGGACCCAACACACAACATGTTTCGTACAATAGATTAAATTTACTACTCGGCCAGACAGAGACAGCAAGAGAGAGAAGGGGAGCAGGAGAGAGAGAGAGAGAGAGAGAGATAGCGAGTGAGCGACAAGTCAGCAAATTGTGTATGTGTGTGTGTGTGTGTAAACCTCCTGGGTAAATGGCTTCACTGTAGTTGCACTTGTACATCTACTCGTTGTTCGTTTCGTATTTGTGTTTGCTTCTAAAATTAAACAAAATACAAAGAAAAAAGCACAAACTCCCAAACTGCAAAGCAAAAGTCGAGTAAGTTTCTCAGTCTACAAAGTTTCCGGTTCTTTTTTTTAAATACTCGATTGCAAGTAGAAGAAGAAGAAGAAGTAGTAGTGGTAGTAGAAGAGGAAGCACTGCATGTAATACAACATAGAGCAACTCTTGGCAATAGTTGGAGGAGTGCGGCTACCGTTGTTATGAAAGCATATAATATTTATAAGAGTTGCAACTGATAAACACTTAATTATCACAAGCGCCAACTATAAAGTAACTTAAGCTGGATTAATGTTAAATGCAAATCTGAGGACAGTCACAAAAAGCATAACAATAGCTACATGTTCTGTGCTCGAACCTGACTACAAATTACTTGCAAGCAATCAAGCTAATAGCTAAGAGTATAATTTCAATTTCTGCCAGTGCTTAACCCTTATTCGATTTGATTTCATATTAATTTTAACATGTTAATAAATAAATAAATAAATTAACTTAAATTTAGGGAGAAGTAAAATGGACTGAAATATGTATATTATGCAGGGAGGGAGAATAGCCACAGAAAAATGTGGATATAGAAACATTGCTTACTTTTGGTTTAACTAAATAAATATTTATTATATGCTAATTTAAATGATTACCAAAAGAATATTCAAGGTAAATAAAGCACAATAAATTCAAAATAGAAATAAACTAATATTTATTGATATTATATTTATTAAATATTTCAAAAATATATATTTTGCAAGCCACAATTTTAGTGGCTAGGCCTTATAGTATTTTAAAATATTTTAAACAATTTTTACAGCTGTTTTCCAATAACATTTTAAATTAGTTCTTGTCATAATAATCTATTATATTTTCGTTATACAAAACTGGCTTTATTGATTGATTGTCAGACTGATGATTATGAAGATAGACTAAATGACGTAAAGTTCGTTTAATTGTATCATTGTATTTATTTTATTGAATTTATTTTATTTTAGTATATTTTTAATTTATTTATTTAATACTTATTTTTATTTTTATTAATTCTTTAATTATTTATTTATAAATTTTTTAATTCGTTGTATTTTGTTTTATTATAATTATGAGCTGCACTTTATACTTTTATTCATTCAAAGCCAAACTCATTCATTTAGGATTTTAGAGTCAGTTTTAATTGTTGTTGTTTTTAATTATCTTCGTAAGCCTTGCCGGATTTTTAATGCCAATTACTTGCATTGTAGGGAAGAATAATATGTTTCAATTCAGCTCAGCATCAATTTCCATTTAATTCCCTAGTACAATGTTGTAGAAGACTCTTCGAGTTTACACTCGAACTACTTATTTATTTCTACATATTGTTTTTAATATAGAAAAATGTTTAATAAATTAAAGTAATTATTTAGTACAGGAAAATATAATAAATAGCTATGCTTACTCATAAAAATAGACAATGTTCCACTTATATGCGACACATTGCAGACTTGGGGTTCTCTAGTGAAAACTCTGAGCATTAAATTTGGTGCGCCAGCTGAGTTGGTGTTTGCTTATTTCAAACTGAAGGACGGCAGGCGACCAAAAATATCTTCATTAAACTGCACTTTAGAGCTAATAAAAAATTCTCTCTTCGAGCTGTGTAACTTTTAAGTTGACAAAAAAATAAAAATAAAAAAACGAGTCGAAAGCAGAAGTTTGCTGCATTTGGTTAAATTACTTAAAATAAAATGTAAACAAAACGCCAACCGAATGGGGCCAAGCCGGAGGCTGAGGCGGGGGCCGCAAAACTGGCGACAAAGTCTACTGAGCCACTTTCGCAAGCAGCCAGTTAACATATGCAGACTTAGCCACACCCACCCACACACATACACACATACACACACTCACACGTACACATTGTCAACACAAACGCCCACACAAAGTTAACGACATAGTGAAATGAAAAAAAAAAAAGAGAGAGAAAGACCAGAAGCTGAAGCAGAGAAAAACGTTAAGGAAACGCAACGGAAAAGCCAGAGCCAAAGCCAAAGCCAAAGCGAAAACGTTGCGAAATTGTAAGAGAAAATTGTTATTTAATTTGTGTGAGTGCTGAACATTTTTGCAGCTGCTGCTTCTGCTGCTGCTGCTGCTCAAGTTTTTGCGCTGAAACTTTTGGCCAACACACGCACCAGAAACTTTAACACAAGCATAAATTTACTCTCCATATGTGTGTGTGTGTGTGTGTGTGTGTGTGTGTGAGCGTGTTGGTGTTAGTGCTCGTAAGTAAGTGCACTTTTGCATTGCCTGCCTGGCAGGCAGCAGGCGCGTATCCTTTGCCGTTTCTTCAAAATTCATATGCACATTTATATTATTTCAGCCTCCTCCACCTAGTCCGCCTCCTGCTCCTGCTCCTCGTCCCTTGCATATGCAAGCAGTTGCTGCTGCTGCTGCTGCTGCTTACGTATTTGCTGCATAATTTGAGGCGCTCGCTTAAACGAAGCGTTGCCCAACGCTGGCGACTTCATTACGCTGCCACGCCCACAACAACACCAACAACAGCAACTTGTGCATAATGAAGCTTTGTTCTTTCTAGTTTTGCCTGTCCCTTATTTATTTTCTACTTCGTTTTTGTTTTCTGTGTTGCGTCAACTAATCAAGAGCCGCAGGACTGCAGCTTTGCAGTGAAATCATTGAGCTGGCAATTCATATCCTTAATTCGGTATCCTTTGACTTGTGCCCCGGCCTGGAATTCGTAATTAAGTGCTGTCTACTTGCAGGCCCCACAGACTGCCGTCTCAGCAGGTAATCAGCCGCAGCGCTTGCCTCCCCTGTCGACCCTCTGCTCTCTTAGTTCGATGATTGTTGGCTTTGCAATTTGACTTTTAATATGCCACAGTTTGAGCAGCACTTCAGAAAAAATATGCCAGGCTGACTTTTATGATTAGAGCGTGAGCAGATGAGATGAGAGTACAAACTA